AATTAATAATTACTTTCATTAAATTGAGGCAATAAAGATAAAAAATTCCAAAGAAAAATAAACTATTCACTATTATACGATGTACCTCCTCAAAACCTATTCTATTATTTATTCACTTGTATTCAACACCGTTTGCGTTAAATTGAAAACAATTTTAAAAGCCAAGATGATTAATTAATTAACACCAAAAAAATATTGCAAATTATATTAAAAAAATGAAACAACACAAATATGGTCTACTTTGTTTAGTTAAAATTTACCGAATGTAGGTAAAAATGATATGAATTTACCTAAAGAATTATTTATCGTTTCTTATTGCTTCGCACTTGTTCTATCTACAGAATAAATGTATGATAATAAATTCTACCCTTATTTAAATGCGTGTTAATTCTAACTATTTTATAGGTGGATGCCACTTACAANACATTTTTTTCAACGTTTTTTGAAAATAGCAATATTCGAAGATTCAAAGTTAATACTCCATAAAAAATATAAAATACGGACTAAAAATTTGAAAATCATTTGCAAGTTATTTAGAAATAACGGATTATTAAGGGCCAGACGTCGTTTGCAAATGACGGCTATATCAGTGCCGCACTTACGAATAATTTTGTTCTCGGCGTGGACTCAGATGACAAGGTAACATCACTGTACTTTCCATGTTCCATTACGTCAATTAACAGGCACTGGCCATACAAGAATTAAGTTTTTTTTTAAATAAAAATAAGGATTATTGGTCTAAGTACGGACCGTATATCTACAGATGACATTTGATGTTGTTAAATTCAAAAATGCACTTTTACCTTGTAAGGGAAAAACAAAATTGTGTTTCAATTGTAAATTACGCAAACGGTGTCCTGTTAAGCACATAATAAAAAATTAATAATAATAGCATTAAATAGGTCTTTTTATTTTAATAACTATAGAAGTCATTTTGTTCCTTGTTTGTTTTTTTCTCAATAATAAAAGTTACGTTAGTCTTACTCTTATCAATTACTCAGTACAGCCAGACTTAGTTACACTTACATATTTTATAAACTTATTACTGTTTGGGTTCTTAAGTAATTTGTATCGTTTAGGTAGTAGTAGTAGTAGTAGTAGTAGTAGTAAATAGTAGTATATAAATAAGTTATAAATAACCTTATCAACTTTATCTCGTAAAAATTCAATATAAGTTTATCAACCTTATTATAACAGAATGCCCACTGGTTCATAGGAATAATTTTGCATCTCTAAATTTAATTAATCCGCCTTATTTAAAACTCTATTTACAGACAATAATAATGCGCGTCTCTAACGATGAAATAAAAACACCGCAGGACTAGANATTTTACTTTTTATTACCTACTATTCTTTACTTTTACATCGTCATCTCACCATTCGATAGTTATTATTATTCATAGATTTCTTTAAAGCGATAGACGTTTCTTTAAATTCATTAAAAATGTACAACAAGTAGTAAAAAAAAAACAATAATTATTGTAGCAGTAGTAATAATAGTAGTAGTAATAGTAGTAGTAGTAATAATAATATACTAAGTGACACTTTAAATGCAGACTTTGCTTCTTACCATACGATTATTTTTAAGTGATAATACGCACTAACTAACTTAAAAATTATGAATCACTTCGGTGATACGAAACTCAGCAGGCATTCTACAAGGCAATTATTATACGCACACGAGTAAACAATTATTAGTGTTATATGAGGTAAAAAATTTCTTCACTTTACTCTACTTTTCACCTATATTCTATTAAACAACTTGAGCGGTGCTTAGAAATAGTCAACACTTCTGTCTGTCTGTACTTACGAGATATCATCTATATAAATATATTTGATAATTAATATATTATTAATTATTATTTATATATTACA